GCTGTAAGTCCTACAATTCTTCAAGGGTAGTACGTCGAAGAGCAGTCAATCGTACTTCGTGTATTATTTTGTACATATGTTCTTGTTGTATATAATCAATTGGTATCATCCCTCTTCTATCTGTTGATTAATTTTGTTTGTGTCCGGACGTCTTCCACTTGGATTGTCAACCTGAGAAGGAATGTAGGCGTACTGCTGTAAGTCCTACAGTTCTTCAAGGGTAGCTCGTCAAGGCAGAATCCGCAATATTTGATGTATTGATTGTACATATGTTTGTGTTGAGTAATTCAGTGGGTTCCGATTCATCTGATTGTCGGTTAATTTTATAGTTGTCGCATTGTGTGAATCATCTTGTAACGTTTTTGTAAGTACTTCTGAATTCGCTTCTAAACTTGTGAACGAATCGAGTAGAGTTAGAGTCAGCGTACGCGATTGGATACGCCGGGGAGAGGATTGGGCTAGAGTGGAATGAAGCAATCGATACTTCGTGAACCAGATCAGTGGTGGTATTGTCGTCAGAGAGCGTAGATCCCATGCGCCGGGGAGAGCGTGTCGGTGTGATGTGGTATGTTTGCTGTGTGTTGGACTTTTTTGTCTTGCCTTTCCAATTTTAGCCTAGTCCCGATTGGCCCAGGTTCCCGCATTGGCAGTTCAGTTCAAGGTTACCGCCGCTGTGGAAAAAAGGGATGGACCTTTTTCTGCCGGGGAGTGTCAATGGAAGTGAACATTGAACGTTTGTTTTATTGGAACTGGCAACCATTGGCGGGCAATTGAAGGCGCGAATGGAACGATCGCTTGCAAGTTGAAGGAAGACTGGATTTAAATACGAATAAAAACTTTGTAGTTTTCTTCACTTTAATTGCCAAACAATATAATTTCGTTCAAGGAATACTGGTGTTTTGGATTTAAAGTTGAAGGAAATACATAGTGTTTATCGGTTCAATCGCTTAAGTCTTCATTACAATAGGAACTTAGGGCTAAGTTCCTTGACAGCATACAAAGTGAAAGTAAGGAGTGAAGGTACGGAATTTTATTGCAGATAGAACAAGCGTTTATAAGGAAAAGAATCGTTAAGAAGTTGCAATAAATGATCTTTGATCAGTGGTAAGGGCTGAGGCAAAGTGAAGGAGACGATGATGTGATTCAGCTGAGGTTAAATGAAAATTAGATGATAGTCTGACCGGTACATCGAGTGTTCGGTCCATAAAGCCTTCATCGTTTTCGTTAAGGTTATGTGAAAAAGAAGATGGTCTCTATGGTTGATCGCTCAGTTCACGATCGCATGGAGATAGGCATACGGAAACTGGGGTATCCTGGGTGTCTGAAGAAGGCACATTTGAGAGTAAAGAAACAGACTGTTTGACATCAGGTTTATTGGTGGCATTACTGCCGGGTGCGGAAAAGAGAAAAAATGGTGAGGGGATTGATTAGTTGGAAAGTTGTAAAGACGGTTTTGGTGTCGGGGGAGTGTGTTTCTGAGGTAGTAGCATTTACTGGGTGGATCCCCAAGCAGGCTATGCTGAAAGTTTAGGCGATTGAGTCCATGTGGCTGTGCACCAGGAATATGGGCATAGTTATGTTTGGTATTACGCAACCTCATAGTAGAAGCTGGGTAGCTGCAACTGGTTGTATTAAGATGGTGAGGAAAAGAGAATGAGATGGGTTGACTAATGTCAGTTCTATTTGATACCATAGACGTCCTTTTGGGAGATTTAAGCGTATGAGTAATAGGAGACGCTGAATCAGGCTTGACGGAGTGTATGGCAGGCATAGGAATTTTGTTCCTTACATTTTTATTCGGAATCTTAGAGCTAGATGTGAAGATATTACAAGGGTTTTCGATAGTTCTAGCATGGCGAGTGAGATTTTTATTAATATCTTTTGCAGCAATCGAGTGCTTTTTAGGTTGTTTAACAACTGGAGAGATACTAGATTTAGTATTGGGAACCATATCAAGCTTCATTTTAAAGTAACTAGGTGGAGGGCTTCTTTTAAAGTTTAGGTGGTGTTTTGTATTGACATCAGTGGGGCCGGTTGTATCCTTTTGGTGATTTATTTCATCTGCTGGGATACTTTGTTTGGCACGACGCTGGATTGGTGTCCTGTCGTGAATAATACGTACATTTTTAAAGCTACTTGCTTTCCTAAAGAGATGCTGGTTATTTACAAAGCGACTAGCATCCACAATGCTATTAAACTCGAACATTATTGGACAAGATGTATTAGCTGAAGATTTACGCAGTCGTTTGCAGGTACTTCGCATGCCTTTAAAAGTGCGTTTTTCAATGTTTTAATATTCGTACTGTCGGGCACATTGAAAACAATTGCATTATACATGCACTGAACCCGCTTGATCACTTCCGTGGAAATATGGTCTATAATTCTCTCACAAGACTTTAGTGTATCACAGTCAGGATAGTCAGCAGGCTTCATCAGATACCTAAGGGGTAAGAGATCATGGACTAACGGAAGGATGTTTGTGCTTTCCAGGCTATTGGCTTGGTTGGATGTGTTTTGCGTAGGCAATGAGCAATTTGTTTTTTCAAATTTGGCATTAGGTTGGTGTCCATGGGTCACTGATGACCGATGGAAATTTTTGCGATTGGGGGCTTTATCGTTAAGAGTAGCGGTGGTGCTGCAATCTGTCCTCTGTGCCGGCATATGTGTAGCCTGCTCAAAAGCATCCAATTGAATGGAACTAGATGACAGTAAATCTGCCTGTGTATTGCAATGATTATCAAGGTCAACGTCTAAGGTTACTAAGCATTTGGGGGAGTTAACATTTCTTTTGACACAGTCAAAAGATTTGATATTAGTATGTATCGATGATAGTGAGGCCACATGTGTGTTCGGACCTTCTGACTGACAATCCTGAGTAGGGCAAATGGAGGGTGTATATTCAACCACGTCAGAGGAGCCAGTGTCAGGCTTTTTATTAACAGCCAGTGTGGCTTGGTAGGAATCCAAAATGCTTGGCTCACAACCTGTACTTTTGCAAATATCCCTGATAAAATCATTTATAACGCAAGAAGGTGAAGAGGTAATGATATCCGATTTTGACATATTTAGCACCTGTGTCAGATCAGGGGAAAGTGCGGTACCATGCTGTTTAGGCTTGCTAGATTTATGTCTTTTGCTGAAGTTTTCAGCCGATAATGAAACATGACGCTTCGATAGCTTAACTGGCACTTTGTATAAATTCACTACAGAACTGTCGGACTGCAAGTATATGAGACTTAGGTTGTTTGATTTTGTCAAAACAAAAGACAAGAGTAATATGGGCACTGAGAGTCAGATGCTCGATGTGGTAATACCTTAATCAGTAATCTGAAACAGTAAAAGTAGCAAGGATAATATCCAGTGACTATAAAGGTAAGTCCAGATATAACACAAATATTGCTATTTGTATTAGTAATCGGTGACACTAAGGATATATCCTGAAACGTGGGAGTACTAGACAGAATAATAAAAACGAAGACCACGCGGAAAAAAACGACAAACTTCGAACGAGGCGCGAACTAAAACTTGATCTACCGAAGACAGTGTGCTTCCGACTTCCGGTAAGGAGGACCTATGTCCAAAAGTTAGTAAGATTAGACACATGATAATAATTCAAATCTAGGTAACTACGATTCGCAGCCGCAGAACACACCACGTTACAATCTATTCCTTTAATCGTGTCAATCAATGTGACACAAGCCAAGACTAGAGAAGGAACACCACTGGTTTTTAAGAAAATCCGCTGTGTTCCTTAATATTATGAACATTCCGTAATTATAGGCAAATTAGGAGACGCACCAAGTCATTACATTTATTGGAACAATAATTGAGCGTACAACAGAGGGTGGATTTAAAGGAATGCTACCGCTTTTTGTCTAAAAATGATAAGCTGACTGTTATGAGTACATGAAAACTTAAATTAATACTGAAATTGAGCTATGAATACCGACAACTACCAAACCAATTAAGACAATAGTCTCAATAAACAGGCCGAATATACTAGTAGGATTCCATGAAAATTCCAAAATATACACTTAAATTTTGAACAGCCTACCTTATCTAATGCACCACATTGCGCATTTATCAGCATCAAGCGACATTTCCTGAAACTAGTGCTGCAAATGTAAAGCAGTCCAAGCACATTATGCAGCCGATATTATGTGGGTCAGAAATTTTTTAATGCGAAAATTCATTGAAAAAACATATAAAAAACATAAATTGTTACTAAACCAACATAGCAACGAAAATGAATGCTACAGTTAGCGGGGATATGCAATAAAGCCACTCCTTATTGGTACCGGAATGGCTTTTTGAAGGTCAGTTTATTACTCATATATCTCTTTGAAGTGCATGATGACTGCCATTCGGCTACACTTCCTTACTTTCTAAGGTTACTACGTTTCTACACAGCGCAAAAATGCATCGTAAAGATGTGAAAAAACTCAGCAGTGGCCTGCAAAAATAGGAAATCAGGGAAACATGAACTTAAGTGGAAACTGATTTCATATCACTTCAGTCTGCACAGACCCTCTAACGGCTAATAGTCACTGGTCATAGGAGTGGAGGAATGGGGCTTTTTATTCCATGATACTTAAGGGTGAAATCAACAGTGTTCAGTGTGCAAATAGATGTTTAGGTGGGTTGTCCTTATGTTCTTGCGAATTCGACCGTGGCATCTAGACTGGCTTTTTGCCCACCAGCTGAAGCAAGGAGACTGACTATCTTGCTCGTATTCAAAGATGCACTTAAGTAAGGTGGATAACGAGAGATCACACATACATAGAAGAACGCAGTCAACACATTTCTCTTCCTTCCCGTCTCACTTAGTTCGTATCGGTCAAGAGAGCTATGCAAACTGGAATAATGACAAAGAAAATAGTTGAAAGGATTCGTTTCCGGCTTGAAGTGGCACAAAGCCTCAGAAAACTGTACTATGCATAGGGAATGCAATATCGTTGTGCCTAAACGGCAGAACTCAAATTGGTACCGTTGTTTAAAGTAATCTCAGAGTTGCGGGATGTATGAAAATGACCGCCATATTTTGTGTTTCAACTGGTTCCTTCCTCAATGTAATTCTTCATGTTTATGGGTTTAGACTAGACGCTTGTTTTTAAAATATGTAAGTTGTTTTGAAGTAGACGTTTATTACTTGTGTTATTTTTGTCGTTTGTGCCTTGTTATTCAATTTGTACCAGACAGATTCATAAATGAATCTATGTCTAATATGTATGAATTATGGATAATAAGTTGTATTTCAAATTTTCATAGTTGTGATATGTTTTTATGAGTCTTATGCACTTACGATAAAATATTGGATTCATCCATTTGATAGTCTCATTTATATGAATTTTTCTCAGACCTAGCTAGGTCAAACAATGGTTTTTAAAATAACTGTGCGAAACGAGTATTGTTATTTTTGTGTCCCTTGCATAAACTAAGAAGTTGGATATTCATCTATAAGGCTTTTTAAGAATGCTGTGTGAAATGGTTTGTTTTATAATAACGTTTTCAACTTTTACCGTACCTTAACGCGCATCGACAGCAGTCAGAGGGATTATAGAATTCTGTATACTTTTCGTTATTGCTTTTTAAATCTTCTCCGTTTTCTTGGTCTGGCTATCTTGGTGAAATACTTCAGTGAAATCGCATGCAGCCACCGACTTTAATGTTTTTTGATCATCAATGAACGGAATCCTTAAAATTCCAGTCTTCAGGATTATCAGTCATTTTGTGTGCATTTGACGATCATCTGACCTGATTTAAGACTCACATCACACGACATAAAACGCCAGTGGATAAATACACTTGTATTCACTTTTTACACCGTGGTCACCCATAAATCCAATCCTTTCACACTTACATCCCTGTGATATGTCGTCTTTGACTACTTCACTTCTTTTAAGTGGTGCATCTTGAAGCAGCTATTTGCTGCCGTCAACTGAAATCGCTGTTCATAAACATGTATCCATGACTATTTACCGTAGAACTACGAGATGTATGTTGCGTTACAAACTACAGCATTTATGTTCATGGTGATGTGCAGTCGTCAAGTGAGGTTGACAAACCATATTTTTCTTGTCGTACTTTGTATGTACCTATGCATCATTAATTCTAAGTGTTTGTTTTGTAGTAGAAAAGTTTAACTTACGAGTGTTGCTTTTCACGTGCTTGTATTATACAACTGTGTGCCCTTGTTTGTCATGAGATTCGCGTATCACATTTGTCGACAATACAATTCCGCAACTGCAGCTATGAGTAAGGATGCATTTACTTCCTCACGAAAACATATACGGACCATTTTATGGTTAGCTTTATTAGATGTACAAGGTTAAACACTAAGGAATGTATACAGAGTTGTGGCTAATGATAATTATAGAAAATAAATTTGCAATATCAGAGAACAGACACCGAAGTTGAGTGTCCTTGAACCAACCAGTCAGATCGCCCAGCATTACAAATGGATGCTTTGCTTAATCTTCGTTACAAGTTTTATCCTAACCTTAATCATAACCCTACCTTAATCCTACCATAAAGTTAACCCTGAATCAAGGTGAAACTTGCAAATAAAATTAAGAGACGCCTCATTTCACTTGGTACCAGACTATATTTTACATTAGAGTCAGGGTCATTAAGGTTTCATAAATTGATGAAATAAGCTTACCATTCTTAATTCAGAATTCAAGCCAGTACATTTTTGAATAGTACCAAAGTAGTTAGCATAGATTTACAAATCTTATTTAGATTTATGATTTACTGAATGTAGTCGTTTATTTCTACTCTACGAAGAATATATATCCTCTGGGGAATCATTATAGAGTCCAAATTAAGGTTGCGCGATCGTGATGTGGGGACTCGAGGTTTACGGCTGTTGGGTAAAGTTCTCTTTGTTATCTACGTTCGAAAAGACGTAGCCCATTGGCACAAGCACTCAACTTGATCCTAACTTCAGTCTCCACATATTTCAGTCCGAGCAACTACACAGTATGAATAGCTCCCATATTTGTTCATGATTTATTTCCACGTACATATTGCATGGGTAGCTAAGTCGGATTGCTTATTATTTTGCATTAGCTCTGAAACGCGGGGCAACTATCAAATACTAAGACATTTCACCGACACACTTTATTTTACGCAAATACATAAGGAATTCGGTTTCTTAAACATTGTAGATGGTATTTCCAATATTCGAGACGTTTCGCAGTTTTCTAATGTGAGGTGTCACTGTCCATGTCAAAAATCCTCTAACAACTATTTGCGTGAGCAAGTGCTCATGACTATAAAATGAACAAAAATAAGACATTCACTCCTCCAATACGTGAGTTTCTTTAAAGTGTATGTGAAATTCTCTTACGTGGGCATACTAATCCATCTTATTTCATTGTTCAAAAGTATTACAGCCTTCTTCAGATACCGCTCATTCGTTAGATAGGTTTTGATAGTTTTATTTTATTATATACTTTGTTTCTTTGTGTTCCGAGTGGGAGATAGGGCTTCAAGCTAGAGATTTGAAGTTTCAGTAGCACTGGGTTTTACGGGGTGGAGTTGCTAGCCTCACTCCCAACCTTTCTTCTTTGTCACGCTTACAACCGGCTAGGGGAGTTAATGGTGTGCCCCGGTCGGGGATCGAAACCCGGACCACGTGTTTGGTTGACAAGCATTTTACCGCTGGACCACCGACTCACCAGGTTGTTAGTAGTAGCTCATATCAACCTGACAGGCGATAAAAAGATTCAAAGTTAGATCATGAATTGACATGGTTTAAAGAGCCACGGAAAACCAGGGAGTAATAGCTGTTCAGTTCTGGGTTCGGTCCAACAAGTTTATTCGCGCACCGGACACCGTTGACTTCGCTCAAATGTGGAATGTATATCTCCGTTCCCCCACCTTTATGACCTATTAGCCTTTGGATGGGTCTTTTCAAACAAAAGTTATATAAAATCAATTTCCATTAAAATCAGCGTCTCCGATTTCAACATCACCCGTCTGAATGCTTTCAACTAATAACGTAGTCCTGACATTTCATTCTCGAGATTATAGGAGTTATCGTAGCGCTCACCTACACTGTCTGTATACTCGTTCAGCTTCAGTACAGAGGCTCTGGTAACACGGCTCTCCGCAAATTCGCCAAATGGAAGCCCAACATCTTGTTTTCAGTCCGTACTCCAGTACTCCCTGGTTTTCAGTGGTTCTCTAACTGATATCAATCCGTGATCAACTTATAAAAACAAAACCTATCCTTACAAACCAACTATAGAAAATATTTAAATATTTAAAAAATACTCGCTTGAGACTTGGTAAACCAGGCCAAAATAGTTCGTAGTAGCACAAATGTATTTATTTCTGAAAACTGGTGCATTTCTATGAATATTTTTTAATTGCCTCCTTTTGTAATGCTAATAAGTGTAGCAGATTAACTGCTTTATTTCTGTAAAATATCCTACTCAGACGTATCTGTCTTTTGTTATGTTAATACTATCTGCCTAGCTCAGTTCCTTTGTTACCACTCCAGTCAAACACATAGTATGATTTTCATCAAAGTTCAACGATCCTGTTGATAAACCGAAAAAAATGGGTTACTCAACCAATTTCAATCCCACGCAGTTGAGAATGAGTCACTCCTATTCTGCGGGGGTTAGTGATACTTCCTGTCTTCAAAAACCTTGTCCGGTGAAGCAGGTTTGTAAGTAGTACGGAATGAAATGTAATTATGTGTTCTAAAGCAGACTAGATGGTGTATGTGAAATATTTTTGCAGATTTGTTCTCATAGATTTACTTTGAAAATAATAGTGACGTTAATGCAGTACATCTTACTTTTGAGTCGGTTTCCAGTCTCACTTGCGTTGAAAACATTCCTCCGTCTACTGAAGAAATCTCGACCAGGATACAGGCTGGTTTGGCATTCATCAAGATACAAAGAGGTTAGAGGTTCTCGACCATATTCGTTTTTCATCAGATTTTGTTAGATACAGCAGATAGTGAGTCTGCTTTATTCTTAGATAAGAAAGGAAAGTTGATTGATGAGGTCGTAAAGTTGCATCAATTGGAGTGCATAAGATACATGTTACGCATGCGAAGCTGTTACCTTCTTGAACGAATAGTATTCACTAAAGCAGGATCAGTTTGGAAAAGAGCTAAGAGTAATCAGAGCAAAAAGGATTTCAATCCATGAAGCCACTAACTCTTGTTGTGAGCTATGTAGGGTGTGTGTAGACTGCATGACTGCAATCCTTGGGATGCTAAGGATCAGTGGTTGCAGAATCTTGGCGAGTTGACTCAAAGTTGTTCACTTTTTGTTATCTTACAGTTGCTGAAAGATTTCAGTAATCTTTATTTAATTATCATTCTCCTCATTCATCTTTGTCTATTGGAGTATCATTCTGTCCTTGTTCCCTTATTTCGTGTGCTTTTTCGAGACGTAACACTCTATGCTAAGTTCTACATTGATTGGTCAGTCAGAGTTTTCAGTTTTTCTGTGTGGATGCACTTTTATTTGTTGTAGAGAATATCGGTTTAACACGTCCTCGAGTTTTGAAGAGCAGTAAATTATCAATAATGTATTTTATTCCGGTACATTTCTTGTATTTCTGACTACAGATTATGAGTGTAACAAATCGTCTGACTGATTACTGTCGCTCCTTAGTTTGGACTAGTCATTGGTTCTGCAGTGACATATATCGATGAAAAATTATTCTGGTGTGCAATTGACACAACCTCAGTTGTTTTTTTAGTCTACCGATAAGTATGGTGTAATAGGTTTTTAGAAAAAAATGAATTTATTCTCCTCTTTTATCAAGTATTTCTAAAGTATGCATTCCATCTTTACTTTTGTCTTTATGCTCACAGTCCCGTAGTTCTGTTGGTGAATTTGGATACAGTTTATGTTTAGTGCATACATTGAGTCATATCAACTTTCTCATGATATTTTCTCACTATTATTGAATTTTTTTTTTACAGCTGGCGTAAACATGCAGAGTTCAACTACAACCGATCGAACACAAGGTTTGTCTACGGAAACTAAGATGATTCTTATGCAACAGCAGTTAGCACTGCTTTTGCATGCTGATCATTGTGAACGCCTTGAAAGAAGAGGATTAGTAACAAACTGTGTAGATAGGAATTGTAGTGAAATTCGAAGCCTGTTACCCCACTTACAGAGTTGTACTCGAGAAAGAGAGTGCAACGTGCCACATTGTATCTCATCGAAATACATAATGCGGCATTACCGTTCATGCAGAGATATGGAATGCAAAGTTTGTTCAGCAATCAGAAAACCCACTGGGAATTCTACATCCTCCTCCTCCGCCTCATCATCATCATCATCAGTATCATCCAACATTAGTTGTTCTCAAAATGGTCTCAGTTCAAACCATAAATATGATTCGCCATCGTTGAATGGTATAAAAGCGTCTGACTCACCAATTCCATCTCAAAAGAATTCATTTGTAGCTGGTTCCTGTGAATCACAGTCCGCTCCTATGGTAAATGGTGAAGCTAGTCGGATACCTTTAAATGAATGCCGCGTAACAGATCAGCAAAGAGAGTTAGCCATGAAGAAATTGTAAGTTCTTATTTCCTGAAGTTATTTCTCCTTTTTTAGTGTAAATGATATATCCTTATCAATTTTTCCAACGGCACATCCTACGGCGTATAGTGATCCCAGAATGAAACAATTTTTAGATTATGTTAAGCGAATGGAAAAAGATGTTTTCATGAAATCGAAATCAACTGAAGAATACTTCAAAACAATGGCTCTCCACTACCATAACATACATTCAGAATTAAAAGAAAAGCGTCGTTTACGAGAAGCCCATCCCCCTCTACAGAATGGTGAGGCGTCTACTAGTGCACAATCGTCAGATTCGACAAATTCTACAGCATCAGAAAATGGTTCATCAAATGTGGTAAACTCTTGTGATCAGGATCAGTTCTCAGATGCTCTAGAAATTGTGTCCAAGCGTGAAGAAGAGATTCAACGAGGCGTGAAAACAGAGATTTCTGCGGAAAACTCATCGAATTCTTCTGGTTTCGTAGAGGCTTCAGAAGAAAGAGATACTAAACAGAATTCAAACTCACCAGAAGTAAAATACAACCCTGTTGCTTCTACAGAGACTGTTGAGGCGGATACTAAAGCAACAACAGCTGATGAAAAAAGTGAACCAGACTCAAAAACACCTCCTGAAGCCACTAATTCTGATGAGAAGAAAGTAGATCCTCAGGCTCCTCGAGAACCTGTCAGGAAAAGAATATGGTATTCAAATGAATTACTGCAGTACTTTTTACCAGTTGTAACAAAAATAAGTAAAGAGAAGGATGCTGAACCGTTTTTAACCCCAGTGGATTGGAAATTCCTAGAAATCTATGATTATCCACAGATAGTTTCAGACCCTATGGATTTATCGACCATTCGAAAGAAATTAGAAGATCGCGAGTATAAAGATCCCTGGGAGATAGTTGATGACTTTTGGTTAATGCTGAACAACGCATGGCTTTATAATAAGAAGACCTCAAAGGTGTATAAAACATGTACAAGGGTAAGTTTCATATTTCTACTTAAAAATATATATATTTTTTCTAGTTGGCGGAAACCTTCGAGAGTATTATCGATCCTGTGATGCAATCGTTAGGCTTTTGCTGTGGTCGTGAACACTATTATCAACCGCCTACATTGACCTGTTTAACCCCGAAGTTCTGTACAATATATCGTGATGCGGTGTATTATGTGTACAAAAGCGAGTAAGTTTTGCAGTTTTTTCTTTCTAATTTATGTGATAGTGGTCAAACCCCGGGGCTTTTGGAACAAAATTATACAGTCTGTGAACGATGTTACAACGAAGCAATGGATCAGATAGCGTTGGATAGTGATTCCAGTAGTCCAGTGTAAGTCATGCTTCTTTCATGTATATATTTAATTAATTTTGCTTCACGTTCCCAGTGGAACATAGGGCCTCAAGCTAGTGGCTTGAAGTTTCTGTAGCAGTGTTTAATTTTACAGGATGGGGTTGCTAGCCTGATGCCCAACCTTTCCTCTTTACCAGTCTTATAACCGGTTTAGCGGGGTAAAGGAGCGCGACGGCCGGGGATCGAACCCCGGACCATGTGCATGGTCGGCGAGCGTCTTAACCGCTGTGCCACCGACGCTCATGTATATATATGTGAATAAATATTTTCTTTTCTTTTTTCTTCTAGGAATGTTCAGAAAAGATTGATGGAAAAATGCAAAAATGATGTCAAAGAAAAAGAGCCATTTGTATTCTGCAAACATTGCGGCAGGAAATGGCATAAAGTTTGTGCCATCTACCTTGAAGAGATTTGGCCCGACGGATTTATCTGTAATCATTGTATTGTCAATTATGGATTAAAACGTGCAGAGAATCGTTTCACAGCCAAAAAACTCGCCACCTGCAAATTAAGCAACTTTTTAGAAAAACGTGTCAATGATTTTTTGAAGAAAAAAGAGGCGAATGCTGGTGATGTTATTATACGTGTATTAGCTGCAGCAGACAAAACTGTTGAAGTGAAGTCTGGCATGAAAACACGATTCTGTGATAATGGAGAGATGCCTGAATCTTTCCCGTATAGAGTGAAAGCTATTTTTGCATTTCAAGAGATCGATGGTCAAGAAGTCTGTTTTTTTGGTCTTCATGTACAAGAGTATGGCTCGGAATGCCCTTTGCCTAATACTAGACGAGTTTATGTTGCCTATCTTGATTCTGTGTACTTTTTTCGGCCGAAACAATATCGTACAGAGATATATCATGAACTGTTGGTCGGTTATATTCATTATGCAAAGTTACTTGGTTTCACAATGGCTCATATATGGGCTTGTCCGCCTAGTGAAGGGGATGATTACATTTTCTACATGCATCCACCGGATCAAAAGATTCCAAAACCTAAGCGATTACAAGAATGGTATCAAAAAATGCTGAAGAAAGCACTGTTTGAACGCATTGTAGTCGATTACAAGGATATCTGTCAAGATGCTAATGAATCGCATTTAATCTCTCCTGCTGAATTGGCATACTTTGAAGGAGATTTTTGGCCAAATACACTGGAAGAGATATTTAAGGTAATTTTTATTTTTAAAAACTAGTTAATTTTTTGCTGTAGTTATAAATATTGTCTTCTTATATCACACGTAGATATTCTTAATATAGGTGTTGCATAACGCGGCAACCATGTTCAAATTTGATGAACACTGCATATGTTGTTGTGTATATGAGAGAGGTAAAAATACCACCTAACAACCGCCTAGATGACGATTAATGAAAGATACGTAGTTTTCTTTTTGATTACAGCCTGATTCACACCGTATTTTTGGTACAGGTATGGAATTTTCAGTATGTGATATCGGTAGCCCAAATTTTGCAGGCTGACCATAGATATCAGGTGTGCGTCGGCAGAGGATCGAACCCCGGACCACGTACATGGTCGGCGAGAGTCCTAACCGCTGTGCCACCGACGCGGAAACCTTTGAAACCCTTTATCCATAGACTTTAAGCTAATTTCTTTGAGCGATAAGTTAGTTTCAATGCAGTGAAGATGCTGACTGACTGGTTTCAATATAGAACTTTGCACAGATGTGCAGCAGTTCGAGTTGCCACTCTCCTTCCATGCACCACACAAAGCAACAGAAGAGGATAAAGAGAGGTTCAAAAGACAGATAATAAACAGATGTGTGAGGCAAAATAATAGCAATATAGAAGAACAGTAGAGTTTTATTGGATATGATAAATCACAATGAGTGAATGCATCTGCACCAGCCATTGAAAATGATTTTGAGCCATATCACAAATTGAAAATGCAGTAGTTTTAGTCCTGATAAATTGATGTTAAATATTTTCTTTACAATCGTCACGAATCAACATCAGTTAGGGGGATCATTGAATGAAAACCGGCTGTTAGCACTGAAAAACTGTTTCCTCCTATTCTAGGACCCTTCAGCAGTGCTCACCCACGACACCCGGGGCCTTCAGGTTATGAGACCAAGTTCGTTGTTAACGACCATTCGGCCACTTGAGCTCTAACCTTTTCAACTCGTGATATGGCGCTACTCTCACACTTAGTGCCTTCGATGAGAATCCACTTCACCTTTACATGATGGACCCCACTGGTGACGACTTCCTACTGCAGCGGCTTCAGGAAATCCATCCAGTAGGCATCAGTGAGCTGGAAGTTAAAATTGTTAGATTTTCGTCACGAAACAACATCCGTTAGGCAGATCATTGTGAGATTATAGAATGGTTAACCAGCTTGGTCTGGTAATCTGGTAGTCATAGGTTCGATCGTTGACGGGATCTTGGGTGGTGTGCACTGATGAAGAGCCCCAGAATAGGACGAGTCAGCTGTCCAGTGCTTGCAGCTGGTTTTCAGTGATCTTTCTAAGTGATGTTGGTTGGTTGTAATTAGTCCGAAATCCCCATAATCCAAATATTTCTCTGATAAATTAAGTTTTTTCGCAATGTAGTTAATACATATCTCATTCCATGCATACTTACTTCGTTTATTACTATAGGAAATGGATGAAGAAAATGCCAAAAGAAAACAAGAACAGGAGGCACTGGCTCGTGGTGGTGGTGGCGGAGGCGATGATGACGATGAAGCCAAAGAGAATGTACAAACTAAAGAAAATGATGAAAATCCCGGGAAGAAAAAAGCAAAACGACGAAAACTTAAGCGTAGTGCATCTATTACAATCACGGGTAAACGAAAACGTTTAGGTGGTATCGGCTCAGGAGATGTTGCCAATGAAGTTGCACGTCGTGTCTATGAAATAATGGAAAAGCATAAAGAGAACTTTTTTGTTATACGACTACATCCTCAAAATTCTGTTGCATCTCTTCCACCGATTAAAGATCCTGATCCACTCATCAATTCAGAGTTAATGGAATGTCGTGGTGCTTTTTTAGAGAAGGCTAGAGAGAAACATTTAGAATTTTCATCATTACGTCGTGCCAAGTATTCCACTCTAGTGATGTTATATGAGTTACACAATGAAAATCGTCAACCTCTTATGTACACGTGTAATGTTTGTAGTGCCCAACTGGAAACTCCTTGGCACTGTAAACAATGCGTTGAGTATGATTTATGCCCACGTTGTTATGAAACAGAAAATCATCCTCATCCTATGGTGAAAATAGGCATTGGACTTGATGATTGTAATAAAGGACAAGAATTGAATAATGATTCAGCTATCCAAGAATCTGGAAGAGATAAATTAAGTCGTTGGGTAAAGGCTTTAGGCCATAGTTGTTATTGTCGTGATGCCAATTGTCGTGTATATGCTTGTAAAACAATGAAGTATCAGATCCAGCATTTCCGTGTCCATTCAACAGATCGAAATCAATGTTCTGTGTGTCGATTTATCTACTACCTATGCTGTTATCATTCTAAAACTTGTCATGAATTAAAATGTCTAGTACCTTTCTGTCCTAAACTGAAGGCTAAAATGAAGCAACAACAAAAACAACAACGTCTCAAACAGACACAAATGCTTCGTAGACGAATGGCTACTATGCAGCGGTGTAACAGCATGACTCCTAACCATCAGCCTACTCCTCCCCCATCCCAGTCTTATCAACAGTGCTCTCAATCCTCAACATCTGACTGTATATCTTCTCCTATGTCTATACCGATGCAGTCATCGCCATTTGCATCTGCAACAGTGACTACTGCTTCTTACAATCTTACTTCTCCACACTCCAGAAGTCAGTCTTCTATTCAGTCTCCTCAACAAAGTCAATTTTTCCATCCTCCAAGCTCATCTTTTCAAAATACTCAGCAGTCTGTTCACCCCTCAAAGGGAATTGTACCTAGCCCATCTGTTCCCAGATCACCGTCTATTGCTTCCACATCAGCTTCCCCTTGTGTCCAAAATCTCCCTCAGTCTACAGGCGTTCACAATCCATGTGTATTGCCTTCAGAAACAGATCAGTTAATGAATGCCAATGTGGATGTCAGTAGAACGAGTTTTAACTATCAATCTCAAAATAGGTTTCCTTCGTCTACAGCTCAACACGTAGCTGCATTCAGTAATCAACAGCAGCGACAGCAGGTACCAGAACGTCCTCAGCTGAATATGGCAAATAACATGGTACCTAATTATGTTGTTTCTCAGCAAAATTTCCAGTCACATCCATCTTCTTCCGGGCATTCAATTATAAACAGACCATCAGTTGCACCTAATCCAACATTTATGGATACCTCATCTCCTAAACCGTTTGTACATCAATCATGTGTAACCTCTATGGATATTGATTCACCATACTCCCAACAAATGATGCCAGGTCAACGGTTTCTGGGAGAAAATGAACATAATAGTTGTACTTACAACAAGCAACAACAACAAATCCCTATACGCCATCCTTCACAAACATATCCTCAGGTTATTGATGGACAAAATCCTGGTACTCTTTTACCTCCTAACCAGCCTTCTTCATCAGCAACTAATCCCACTCCAAACTGGAGGCAGCCAGGGCCTGCACTATCCAGCAATATTATATATCCGCAAGGCTCATCTGTATGTTCCACTCAACAGAACACGTCAGTTGTTCGGTCCAATCCTGCACCATCCTTACTTCCTCAATCCATGGGGTCAGTAACTCCACCGAATGCTGGTGTTATTGTCCCATGTGGAGTATCACCAGAGGATTTACGTATCGTTCAACAGGCATACACCACAATGAGACAACGGGGCGCTCCAGCATCTGAGGTAAGATTTTTGATTAACTCACACTTCATCGTAGTTTTACAGTAAATCGTTAGAGATCAAATTGATTACCCGAAAACCTTTAAGTAGCATGTTTTCTGGTATCATTTCCTTTATTTGTACTGCAAATATAAAAAAAAGTATAGATGGAGTGACTGACTTTTAACAATGGTGTTGAAAGTTCGAATTTTGTTGTTAGTGCTGAATGCCGAAGATTTTCAGACTGATGAAGGTTTGCCTTTCCTTTCAGATTCTGGCTGGTTTTGACACCCTCATCCGTGCCTAGATAAGTGAAAGCGGAGACTCCCTTCGAATTTCTTCTTTTGATAGTGATTAATGCTTTTCGGTTGGTTATCTTCACCTCTGTCTTCTGTATGTTAACTTGTCTTCCAGTTTGTTGATTTTCGCCTGTAGGTCTTCGAGTTTGCATGACATCAGAGATAAATCATCAGCGAAATCCAGATCTTCTACAGTCTTCTTATCAGTCCAACGTATTCCTGCCTTCACACTCACCATTCACGGTGTTCCACATTATCCAGTCCACCACAATTAGGAGTATCACTCCGGTCAGACAGTCTTATCTCACGCCTGTCTTCATTTCAATCCAATCGCTACGGGGGAACTTCAAAGAAATGTCACTAGAACAGTATAAAATGTGTGAAATATTTTAGAATTTGTAATAGTTTCTCAGTTATAGAGGCATGAGACTCAGTAATTGATGACGTAGACGTGATATCCGACTATCGACCAAAGGGCGTGTGTACTGCTCATCAGTCCGCTCCGTCCTCCTTTATGGCTGTGAGACCTGGCCATTGAGAGCGGAAGACATGTAAAGATTATCTGTGTTCGATCATAGATGTCTGCCTTCTATCTCCCGTGTGAAGTGGTATAGTAAGGTGAACAATATTGAGGTTAGGCGTCGAGTGCTAGGTAAGGAGGGGAAATCAATCGACAAGACTGTGAAGTTACATCGGCTGAGATGGTTAGGACATGTTACGTATGCCTAGTCATCTCCTTCTTCGACGGGCAATGTTAGCTGACATAGGGTCAGGCTGGAAAAGAGCTAGCGGCGGTCAAACGGAAACATGGCTTCATCAGTCAACGAAATCCACAACAGTTAGTTTAAGCCAGCTACGTAGGGAGGTGTAGACTTCCTGGTTGGGGTCCTCGGGGCGGCAAAAATCAATGAAGGCTGGAAACAATTGGTGATATGGCTCAAAGTGATCATTCTCAATGGCTGGCGCAGATGCATCCACTCCTTGTGACTTATGATTTCCAGTGAAACTGTTTTGTTCTTCGTTATTACTATACCTTTGTCTCACACCTCTTTTTACTGTCTATATTATGCATTTCTTCTACTTTCTTCTCTTGCTTTGTGTGCTACATGGAGGGAGAGTGGCGACTTGAACTCCTGCACATATGTGCAAAGTTCTATGTCGAAAACCGACCGAGTACCGGTTTATGACACTTTTAACACAACGGTTTATGACAACTTTTAACACTCACTGGTTTGAGATATTTGAAGAAAAAAAAAATGCGTAGTTGTGAAACATACTACTTAATTTCCGCTGTCATAAATTATTATCATTACATCATTTTATAAATGTATATATGTGTATGCAGCAATATGAGATTGTGTTAAGTGAGTGGTAATAATCTGACAGTAAACATACACACACACGTTGTTCTAATAGAATAGTTGTGTGAAAACTTAACGATTTTTATTTTTTTTGTTAAGTTAATTAATATCGTTCTCGGTGTTGTTGTTGGTGTTGTTTTTATTATTATCGATATGAAAAGTTCAACCAGTCAGTATTGATTCAGTGCGCTTGTTTGTTTAGAATAAATCAAATTTTTTTAGCACTTATTTATTAATAATTTATTCCGTCCACTTTTAATTTCCACTTAATTACTGTGCAAAGAAAGCTAACTCACTTAAATCTTCTTGCACATGTGTGTTATGTGTAATCTGCGTATCTCATTCTATCCCCCCCGTGTGTGGTAGGTGTTGGTATATATAACAGCTCGAGTACTATTCAGGTTGGAGGTGTCAAGTGTTAGGTAGGGAATAGAAGTCAATCGATGAGGTTGTGAGTGAAACTGTATTGATTGAGTGTGAGATAGCTAGAGCATGTGTTGTTATGCATGACTGACTAACCATCGCTTTCCTCCACGGGGAGTGTTAGCTGACATAGGATGAGGTTGGAAAAAACATCGGATCGGATCAGTCTATGAAATCTTTGACAGTTAGCTCCAGCCAGCCACATAAGAAGGTGTAGACTTCTTGGTTGAGGTCCTCGGGATGTTAAGAACCAATGACTGGATACAGTTGGTGATATGGTTCGATATGGTTGTCAATGGCACAGGTGCATTCACTCTTTGTGAAATCTCCCAGATCGATTAAACCATCATGTTTTTCCATGTTATTATTCTTTCGTCTTCTTCTTCTTCACATTTCTGCTTATTATCGTTTTCGTGAATCTCCTTTTTTCATCCTATGTATGGTAAATAGTGTAGAAAGTTGGAGTGGTGCACTTCTGTGAAAAGTTCTGTGTTGAAACCAGTCAGTCAGTGTGTCTATATCCCCTTTGTTAGACAGGTATGGGTAAAATTAATTCGTATATAACTGCTAGTCTATGAGCCACAGCTGGGTGATACTTTACAATCAACCAAAGCTCTTTAGGTAGCTACAGTGGGCTTCACACTTAAGGACCCAGTCGGTCGGTCGGTTTTCGACATAGAACTTTGCACATATGTGCGTCAGTTCAAGTCGCCACTCTCCCTCCATGTAGCACACAAAGCAAGAGAAGAAAGTAGAAGAACTGCATATTAGAGACAGTAAAAAGAGGTGTGAGACAAAGGTATAGTAATAACGAAAAACAAAACAGTTTAATTGGAAATCATAAGCCACAAGGAGTGGATGCATCTGCGCCAGCCAGCCATTGAGAACGATTTTGAGCCATGTCACCAATTGTTTCCAACCATTGGTTTTTACCGTCCCGAGGACCCCAACCAGTCAGGAAGTCTACACCTTCCTACATGGCTTAGACTAACTGTTGTAGATTTCATTGACTGGTGCTATGTTTTCGTTTGACCGCCGCTAGCTCTTTTCCAACCTGACCTTATATCAGCTAACATTGCCCGTAACACATGTCCTGACCATCTCAGTCGATGTAATTTCACAGTCTCGTCGACTGATTTCCCCTCCTTACCTAGCACTCAACTCAAGCCTAACCTCAATATTGCTCACCTTATTATACCACTTCACATGGGAGATAGAACGCAGACACCTATGATCAAAGACAGCTAATCTTTTCATGTCTTCCGCTCTCAATGGCCAGGTCTCACAGCCATAAAGGAGGACGGAGCGGACCGCTGAGCAGTACACAAGCCCTTTGGTTGATAGTCGGATATCACGTCTACGCCAGAGACGGCGTAAACTGGCATATGCGAAACTAGCCCTCTGTATTCGTACTGAGATTTCGTCAGAGATCAGTGGCCACATATCACTCATTCGTTATATATCATATCGATTTAACAAAGGGGAACATTAAACCTAAAGTCACAAAGGAAGATAGGAAAAGGATAATTTGTTTAGGAGAACAGGAGAAAGATAATACTTTTTGCTTCTAATATTTTACCTGGTGATGGCTTGGCATGTATAAACTGACTGCTAAACATCCCTTTCACAACACTACATACAGCGTTAGTCTCAAGTCTTCTCAATTCTTCCTAGAACCCTCAGTTCAGTTTTAAATAGTTCTTTGTCAGTGTAGAATTTTACAGACTTTTACTCTAGTCAGCCTGATTCTAAAATTTTCTAGAAGATTGGGGGCATCATTGCAATCAGTCCAATGTGTAATTATGTTCGACTTTCATTCTCTACCGTAGTGTAACACATGCAGCGATCCTAATGTGGAGAGAGATATACAATCAATACTCACTTTTCACATTCACATTTATGGTAGTTATTCTATTCATTATATTTTTGAAATTAGATTGCACAAAGTTATAAGGTACTGGTTGTGTTATTGTCTAGCTACACTATACCAGCTCACCAACAACGCCTCCCACGTGGTCTGGGGATCTCGATTGACCGGCCGACTTACGCCTAAACCTCTGTTAACCGGAGGTAAACTCGGTGAGGCATGAGGCTACCAACCCCCATCCCCACCGCGTAAAAATGTCTAATGTTCCAATCAATCAGTACTCTAACGGACTTGTTGTAAGTACTAATCACAGCGAAAGCAAATCGGTAGGACGCTGTTTATTTAGTAATATTCTCTGATGAGTAGTATATTCAAATAGAATAAATTGTTAAGGTTCTTTATTTGAAGGAAAAGATTTCATAACTCAGAGTCTGTGTGTGTGTGTGTGTGTGTGTGTGTCAATAGCACAAGAGATGGCGCTCAAAATGGCATTCAGGCTTGTCCTGATGCGTACCCATTGAAACAAAAGATAAAACACCTAAAGCATTCACAGGTAGAGAAATAAGTTTGTAGTTGTTGTTCTTGTTGTTGTTGGTGGTGGTGTTGGCGCTTAGAAGATAAATGTTGCCACCAATCTCTCTCTGCACCAGTAGTAGTCACTTACCAGCAGAGATGATGAAAGCCGTGAGAAAATTGCGCGAAACTACTTACTCTAATCGTTGGTCTAATCATTGTGTAAATTTTAAATACTTTTAATTATTCATTAACTGTGTGTGTAAACGCGTCCCTTTTTTCCGTTAAATCAATTATTCATTAACTGTGGCTTATTCTCTGACATACACACAGCACACACACACACACTAGCAACACCTTACATAAGCTTGGCTATATACAAAAAAAATATTTCACTGATTGATGCTATACAACTTTAATTTTACGGATTTTTTTTCACTGTTTGTTCGTGACAGCAAATCAGAGTTGTATCTTTTTCAAAAGAATTATTCAACCTAGGTCAAAACTGCTCTCTTTCTCTCTCTATAGAATCAGTCGTTATTTATGTGTAAATTCCTTGTTTGGTTAAATTGTTTTGCAGTGAGTGTAATCTAGGCTTGACATTCCATATTTGCACATAGCGGTTTTTTATATATTTTAATATAAATATTGTGTTGTAGCGCTGGTGTGAGGTGGGGTGGTGATGATGGTTCAGCGGCGGAATGCTCTCCAACAACGCCTCTCACGTGATATCTGGGGATCTCGATTGACCGGTCGACTCACGCCTAAACCTCCACTAACCGGAAGTAAACTCGGTAAAGAGGATAGGTAGGTAGGTTGGGTGAGTGGGCGGGAGTGAGGCTAGCAACTTACTTTACTTTACTTCGGCTATCTACGGGAGGATGAGCCGGCTTCATGAACATCTCTCGTTTGTAAGAGAGTTCATGAAGTTTCATGGGAATTTGGTACGAGTGATGTCCCCAGAATCGCTCGGTTTTTTGTTTGAGAGTGTAGCTCTAGCCTTTACACAACCAAGTGTGACCTACAAGGCAGTAGGAGTGGAGTAGGGAGTCCACTATCCATTGGCAGCCGGTGACCGGAGTTCGGTTCATACGCCTTTTTGAATGGGGCCAGACATCCAGGACATCCAACAAGCCCTTTGTCCATACGTCTGCCGGTGAGCTCCAGTGAGCTTCATACGCCAGTCGTTGGAGGTTTGGAATCAGGGTTTAGCCATCTCCCCTAGACTGTCATCCAATGGACAGTCAACCCGGTGAAGAGCGCCGGGCATCCGCTTTCGCCCTCTCACTTTGGTGAAAAACATATCCGCCACGTGAAGGCAGTGAGTAGGACTTCCTCAGGAGAGGCTATGTAAGACGTCCGGTCATATGGGAGCATTTCAAGAGGTGTGGGGAGGGGTGGCCAACCCGCAGCACAAGGCACCCACCCCCGACCATCCTGAGGCTTTTGAGGCTAGCAACCCCCATCCCCACTCACTGCTTAAAAATAGCACAGAAATGCTACGGAAACTTCAAACCTCAAGCTTGAAGCTCCTGTATATTCCAGTGGGAATGCAAATGGAATATGAATGTCGTCGCTTTAGTACTTTAAAATGTTAAAATGGGGTGTTACACGATGTGATTACAGTTCATTTTTATATCTGTTCTCTGCATAAAAACTTGATATATTCGGTTATTTCTTCTTCTCTTATTGTTATTGTTGTTACATTACAGTTTTCAAATTGGTTAAATTGCAATCCACAATATCTGAGAGCATGGCAGTATTTGCAGCAATCTCACATGAACAACATGAATAACCAACAGCAGCAACAACAACAACAGATGCAGCAGCAGCAACAACAACAGATGCAGCAACTACAGCTGCAACAACAACAACAGCAACAGCCTCAAATGTCTGGATGTGTTGTATCCAACACGACAAATACATATTCATGTCCAATGGGAGTCCAGCAACAACAACAACAGCTGCAGCAGCAGCAACAACAACAACATAATACATATTCCACATGTCAGATACCACAGAATCCTCAGTGTGTTACTGGCCCACGTCTTTTACCTCAAGCTAGATATTCTTATCCACAAATTCAACAACAACAACAACCTCAACCACCACTACCACAACAACAGCAGCAGCAGACGATTATAGCAAATTCCCAACCACAATCTTGGTCTTCTTCTATGCATGTACAGCAGCAACAACAACAACAGCAGCAGCTACAACAACCTCGTTTTCGTCAAGTGGTAACAGCGCCAAATTTCAATCAACAACAACAACAACAGCAGCAGCCTAATCACCAGCAATTTTCTATGCCTTGTCATCAACAAGTCAACAGACTCCCGTGTACAAGTTTATCACCAACACAGACAACGTCGAATTCTTCACCTCAACGGTATATTATGAGTCAAACAAATCTGCCTCAACCATTAACCAATCAGATTCCTGCTTCATCTTCTGTGCCTAACAACATATCTAGATGTCCTCCTCCTCCGCCTCCTAATGCTATGATATCACCACAGATGATGGCTCCCCTCCCTCGTTGTACAAACAATCCGCCTACAATGCCTTCTTCTGCTTCCTCGACAATGATGGGACTTGTAAATCCCACTGGTGGTTGTGGTGCTGGTGGTATGGGTGGCCCTGTTCGTTCAGTAGTTCAGCCTTCTCCGCATTACTCATCTGTAATGTTATCACAGTTGTTAGGACCGGGTCAAACTTCAAATCTTACTAACAACAACAGCAGCAACATCAACAACAATCCATCTTCTTCTTCTATGCCAGAATATCCGAATTTACCAAATAAACAACAGCATCTTGTACGCCAGGAATTCATTCCTTCAACAGTTTTTCAGCAGAAATTGAATTAAACTAGGGCTAAATATATTATTGCTTTATATACATATACAAATTATCCAATCGGCTTACTTGAACTGTGTGTATGCGTGCGTACGTGTTGAGTAGTTCCCGATTGATGATTGGTTCTCTTTCCTCTATCCATCAGATGTGTGTGTACATAAATATACATATTATACATAAATATATAAATATGAATTTGATTAATAATAAATTATCTTTGAGTTTGCATTACATATATATATTAATACTTGTTATTTTATTTTAATTTTATTTTTTTTTCCGTTTTTTGAAAACGAACTACAAGAACATGTGTGTAAATAGTACTTTGAACGTAATTGGCATTTTCCCTCTCTCTCTCCCCTTCGCTGTCTCTCCGTTCCTCTTGAATTCATTCTGTACTAATTTTCTTCGCCTGTCAACTTCCCATCCCACTTCAGGTTTCTATTACCACTACCACTACCACTGCTACTACTACGACCACGACTACTTACATTGTAGCGGCGAAATCATGTGATTTTTTTTCTCTTGTCCTCCTCCACCCCTCCTTTCTCTGTATACTACATGTACAGACAACAGTATATACATACGTGTGGTGGTTACCACAACTTTTTTTCTAATTTGAGCTAGATTATAATAATAAATACACTCACATATTCACATTCACACATACACACACACACTATCTCTAGCCTTCCTTATTATATTGTTATTATTATTATTATTACTATTGTTATTGTATAACTACTAATACTGATGTAATTTTGTTTTCTTTAATAATAATAAGGATTTTTTTCTCTCTCTCTCTTTTTAAAGTATAAATGAATATTTAATTCAAAATCATCGGGCTTTTTTTATCCTGTAGTTTTTTTTGATGCTTTGTTTGTATTTTCATCGATGTGTATTATCAATGTAGTAGATTGCTTCGTGTGAAACGGACACATTAGTTAGAGAGATTATTATTGAATAATGAAAACCAGCTGGGAGGAGCACTGGACAGTATTGTTTCCTCCTCCTCAATTGGGAGTCTTCAGCGGGCCCAACAGGTTCTTTGTTAACAACCATTCAGTCACTTGGGCTGGAATTTTAAAGACCCTCGAATTCTGACTTTGTCAATTCGTCATATAGTGCGTTACTCTCACATCATTGCCTTTGAAGGGTATTCATTTTATCTTGACATGGAATGGGACCCAGTGGTGATGATTTCCCACTACAACAGCTTCAAGAAATCCATCCAGTAGCAGTTATTAATGAGCAGCCGAAGATTGATATTGAGATTATGGGATTTGTGGGTATTTTGCATTAATTTCAATTGTCGGATTTTCGTCACGAAACAGCATGAGTTAGGGAGATCATTGTGAGATTATAGGAATGGTTAACTCGCTTGGTCTGGTAATCTGGTTGAGGATGGTTGATGGGATGGTGGGTGGTGTGCACTGATGAAGAGTATCAGGATAGGACGAGTCAGCTGTCCAGTGCTTGCAGCTGGTTTTCAGTGATCTTTCTAAGTGATGTTCGTTGGTGACGAAAATCTAACACCAATGCCTTAGATGATAATTTACTGGCCATGACTTTTCGGCACAGCTTTACGATATCCACCCAGTAGCTATCGATAAGCTGGATATCAGTTTCTGTTACTGTGTTTGGATAGCATCCTGTAATTAATTATATATATACATATACTCCTTGATAGGGCCGACACTTGATATGTTTTCTAACCTGAAGACGGCATCGCACACTTTCTACCAACAAGTGTGGCGGTGTCTGATTGTAATCACATTATGATATGTTTATGAGCAATAAATTGCTCTCGAAACGTCATCTGGCTAAATGGTACTTTTTATAGCAAATAAACTTATTCAATTATGAATTCCGTGTGCGTCGGTGGCATAACGGTTAGGACGCTCGCCGACCATGCACATGGTCCGGGTTTCGATCCCCGGTCGACGCACTCCTTTACCCCGCTAAGCCAGAAATAATGCTGGTAGAGAGGAAAGGTCGGGCATGAGGCTAGCAACCCCATTCTGTAAAATAAACACCACTGCTACAGAAACTTCAAGCCACTAGCTTGAAGCCCTATGTTCCACTGGGAACGTGAAGGAAGAAAAAAATAATGAATTCCTAGTTCCATTGTGCTGGGAGAAGATAAGAGATTGTGTAACGGATGTTTATTGGGGAAAAAACATATTTTTACATTCTCAGCCTCATTAAATTTCGAATAGATCAGTAGAGAATAAATTGTTCTGATTGGTCGGCAATTTGGCCAAGGTTGAACAAGTTGTCCAATGAGGTTATTTCATGTCCACAACGTAAACACTAAATCCAAGTTTGAGGAATAAACACTTCTACTTCTGTTGCGGCCACTGATACAGTTTAGCTGTTGATTTCAGTTTTGGTCGCTTCCAGGAATCTGCATCATGCTACAGCATAATTCCCATTGGCTTATGCTGGTGAGTATTTTTGATTCAATCGTTCTAGGGACTTTTCTTCGGAAAATTATTATCGTTCCTGTGAAACTCCTTTTTTTTCATAGCTTTTGTCATCCCATGTGTCGTCAAGTTGGAGTGGTGCACTGCAGTACAAAGTTCTATGTTGAAACCAGTCAGTCTCAGTTGGTGATGTGAGCAGCTGGGTCGGGTTGGAAAATAAGTTATAAGCGGTTGTTGGTTTGAATGTTGCTGGAAAGAGAGTAGTCTGATCTTAGTCAACAATATGCCAAAAATCAGTAGTTGAAAACTGTCGTAACATCTCAAAATTGTTCTGTGATGTTGTAAATATATCCGAAATTTATTATATTCAAAATCGAGAAATCACTCCTCCTTCTAATTGATGAATAAGAAAAATAGATTTATTCACAGTGCGGAAATATTTCTTTCCAAGCTGTTCAGTTGTACTCATATTTAGATTGCATTATTGCTCAACACATGATAACTAGATGAGAGATAGCTTGGAGTAGATAGATTACAGAAAGGGGTTGGTTTTTAAAGAAAGGAATTGATTTTAGCACATAAAATGTGATTTCGATTTTGAAGGGATTCGATTTATTATTATTATTGTTCCCTTGGGTTCCTAGTGGAACATAGGGCTTCAACTGCACGTCACCACTTGCTTCTGTCTTCTGCTGTACTTTTCACTTGCGTCCATGTTATTCCATACTGTTTCAACTCCTCTTCACACGATCTCCTCCATGTCACCCTTGCAACGATGTCCCACTCGCCGCTTCCCTTTCGGGTTCCACTCGAGCTATGGCCTGACGCTCGATGTCACCCTGCGGCCACCTCAGCGAGTGTCCAATCCATCTCCACTTTCTCCTGCATATTTGTTGAGCGATTGGTTCTTGTTTTGTTTGTTCCCATAGTTTCTTGTTGGTTCTTGTTCTTTCCGGCCATCTGATCTTGAGTATAGAACGAAGACAGTTGTTGATAAAGGTCTGCAACAGGCTGCTGGAAATATTCTTGGTGACCCGCCAAGTTTCTGATCCGTATAGAAGAAGTGACTTGACGTTTGTATTGAAAATCCGAATTTTGTTGTTGATTCGACTGGTCGCAAACTAACTCAAATTAGAAAACCAAAGGACCAGTGGGGTCCACCAAATTGGATGTGAGGACAAATACACACCAATGGCATTAGCTGGGGTGGCCGCTGTATATATATGTATAACGCCAATTTGCAGTAGTTAGACTTTATGGGCCATTGAATTCCGTTGCAATACCTCAATGGTATGAGAGCTCGTCTTGTAACCCGAAGGTTCGATCTCTGGTTGTGGTGACAGGTGCGGACTGCTGAAGAGTTCCAAAGCAGGATGAAATAGCAGTCTAGTACTCTCTGGTCTCTAATGGTCCTCTAACTTAACTGAGTTCGTGATCAATCCCCACATAAAGTATAAATCGATTGCTGTCAAACAGTGAACAGATAATAAGGATTCAAAATACAGAAGTGAAGCAGAATGAAATTATAATTGAAAAGCACATTCTACGTAATGTTTTTTGATTGTAGTTTAGTTTTCTGTCCATGTGTTGTGGCATGTGCTACTGACAGGGTTTATCAGTAGTATATAAAGAGACGTTCATCTGCACAAAAATGTCAAATAGTGGAGAGATTGTGGATCTGACGTGAAAGAGAGGAAATAGACCAGTATTGCGGCAAAACCTGGGAGATACGAAAAAAAGACAAAGAAGCACACACAATACGAAGAGGGAGAAGTAGCCCAACACGGAAGATCTATGCAAACGACGGTTCTAATATATGTTATACATGATTTTCCTCTATTTGTGAATCAAATTGCTAAGAATCATTCCGTTTCAAAGTATGTTGTCTTCTCCTGTTACACATGTATGCATAGTGCTTAAGATATGCATAACTGATCGAATTTCGGAGTGATTAAGTTTAGTTCTCGGGATGATTCGTTTTTTCTCTAACTCATAGTTGCCATAATAATATTAATATTATTATATTATTGTTTCCTTTAATTCCTAGAGGAACATAGGGCTTCAGCCGTGCATCTCCATTGCGTTCGGTTCTCTGCTAGAGTCTTCACCTGGTTCCAAGTCTGCCCACACGTTTTCATCTTCTCTTCACATGACCAACTCACCGCTTCCCTTTCGGGTTCCACTCGAGCAATGGCTTGTCTAGTGATGTCACTTGCTGGTTTCCTCAGAGTGTGGTGGCTCATCCATCTCCATTTCTTCCTGCCTATTTGTTTCACAATCAGTTCCTGCTGGGTTGGTTCGCTCCCAGAGATCACTCTCTGTTGCTGATCTTTTCTGATCACCTGATCTTGAGTAGTACTGAGTGAGTGCAGCTGTTGATGAAGGTCTTTAGATTGTTTGAGATGCTCTTTATGACGCGCCAAGTCTCTGATCCATCCGTATAGTAGCACTGACTTCACATTGGAGTTGAAAATCCAGATTTTATTTTTGATGCTGAGTGTTGTTGACCTCCACACAGACTTGAGAGTAGTGAAAGCTTGTCTTGCTTTTCCGATTCTTGCTTTGATATCCTCATCAGTTCCATCCGCCTGTAGTTGAAACGATGGTTCCCAGGTAGGTAAGTGAAGGAGGTTGTTTTTTTCAGGTTCCTTCCATTTATGTTGATTGTTGTCTGTTGTTGTTGGTGGTGTTGCCCAGGAATCTTCATCACCTCTGTTTTCTCTATGTTCACCTGAAGTCCTGTCTTCTATTGATGCTTCTTCTGCCAATTTGTGGCTTTTCGCTTGCATATCTTCCAGTTTGTGCGAAATCAGACATATATCATCGGCGAAGTCCAGATCCTCCAAGTTTTTTGTGTGAGTCCATTTTATGCCTGTTTCCTCATTGCCCGCTGTTTGTCGCATTATCCAATCTACTGCAATCAGGAAGATCATTGGCGATAGTAGGCTTTATTTTAGACAATCTGTGAATACATAATACAAAATTTCCAGCGTATTTAGTACCAAAATATATGTCGTCTTCACACAGGATTTACATGTAAAGTAGTAATCATGTGATGTAG